AAAGTGGTCACCGAACGAAACTATGCCGTGCTTACGATCTTATTTCAGCTTTCAGTTCCTTGACAGACCTGCCAAGGCGGTAAATGGAAGGATAAGTCATAAAGTTACTTTTTCATCACCGTTGCAACGTCAAAATAGTCAGAAAATGGGGAAACTTGTAAATGAGATCTACCTGTTACACCTCCTTGAAATTTTTTATTTTTTTCAACGTATTTCACTTAACCTGATTGGAGTGGCGCGGTGGCCTAGAGGTGGAGCTCTTGCCTCACAATCAGGAGGCTGTGAGTTCAATCCTAGGTAGAGGCGTCTCTCTGGGCACACGGAGAATAGATCTGCTGAACAAAACTCCACATTGGCAACAGGAAGGGCATCCGGCCATTCAAACACTCTGCTAGCTCCATTCAGTTGCCCAGACTCCTCCATCCCGCAAGGGATTATGGGGTTGTTAAAATAAAGATGATTTCATTTCACATGATCCTCCTCCTACAATATCTGTTGACATCCAGAATCCTTCCCCACTGGTCAAGATTGGCAATACGTAGAAGACCAACTGATTTCCATGTGTATCATAAGGATCAACCAGAAACTTTAACTTCCCTCCTTTAAGAAAATTAAAACTATACTTGCACTGATCAGCTCTATTGATCTCCCAACTGGCAATGTTTTCTTTCTTTATTTTTGCTGCTTAGAAAAGGGATAGAACGAGGTGCCTTTCCAAAAAGGGTTTTTTAGCAGCATCCACGCACATGCCACAATAGCTCCAGACAAATATAAATAGCATTACAGTTATTAAACATTAACCCAACCACAACCTAATGTAAGTCAGTGTGTTTCTCAAGCTCAGCGACTTTCTGTGGACTTCAACTCCCAGAATTTCTCAGCCAGCATTTTGAGAGGTGAAGTTCACACATCTTGAAGTTGTCAACTTTTAAGAATTTGCTAATCCACATTCAGGGCCAATGGACCAATCAGAACCAATCTTTAAAGACCTTCCAAAACAACCATGTCTTCCTGAAACTTTGGAAGACCACAAAAAAAGGGGAGTCCTTTTTGCTTCACCGAGAAGCTACTAATATCCCAAATGGGACAGTAAAACTACAAGGATCTCGCAGCCACTCACCTCCGTCAACCGTTCGAGGTTTCTGCTGGCAATGACACACTGGCAACCGTGTCTAAAGGAAAATTTCCCAAGATCAGACAGATAAGTCAAGGAATGCAAAAAACGTCTTTCTTTTTTACTTAAAAAAGTTTTAGGGTTTTTTTGTTTTTTTAAAAGAAGTGCAAAAGCAAACATTTGGGAAACTACAGGTGAAACTCGAAAAATTAGAACATCATGCAAAAGTTCATTTATTTCAGTAATGCAACTTAAAAGGTGAACCTAATATATGAGATAGACTCATTACATGCAAAGCAAGATAGTTCAAGCTGTGATGTGTTATAATTGCGATGATGATGGCTTACAGCTCATGAAAGCCCCAAATCCACAATCTCCGAAAATTAGAATATTGTGAACAGGTTCAATATGCTAGGCTCAAAGTGTCCCACTCTAATCAGCTAATTAAGCCATAACACCTGCAAAGGGTTCCTGAGCCTTTAAATGGTCTCTCAGTCTGGTTCAGTAAGAATCACAATCATGGGAAAGACTGCTGACTGGGAGAGGAGGAACGGCCGACAGGGAATGGAAGTGTGGCTCTGGAGGTTTGGAGGAGGCTGGGGAAGGGCAGAGGCCGGCTGAGCAGTCAGAGGAGGACCCAGGCCCATCCCCTGTCCATCCTAGGGCACCAGGGAGGAGATGATAAGGGAGACATGGTCTACTGGGAAGGAGGGGGCCTTGACCCTCTTCATGGGCTGCAGGTGTGACAACTGAATACGAGTTTGGACCTGCGTACTGGCGAACGCTGGAAACAAATCATGTAAATATCTCTAGTTTATATTTCCTCTCTGAGTTTGGCGTCCTTCCCAGTGTGTGTTATCTGTGGACATCCTCCAGCCCTTATCTTGCCTGGTTTGTGTTGTTTTTTACTCTTTATAATTTAAACGGCATTTCCTCCTTCTTGTAACTGCTTGTGGGGGAGTTTTTTGTCTCCAATCAAGGATATTTGGAGCTTGGAAGCAAAGTGAAGGAATAAAAGGGGCTTCACCTGTTTTCTGTGACTGTGTTTGTTTTGTACCCCACCCTGGGTCATCACATTAGATATGTCTAATCTAACAAAGGAAAAGACTAGGGGAGATATGATAGCAGTGTTCCAATATTTGAGGAGCTGCCATAGAGAGGAGGAAGGGATCAAGCTATTTTTCAAAGCACCTAAAGGCCAGACAAGGAATAGTGGATGGAAACTGAACAAGGAGAGATTCAACCTGGAAATAAGGAGGAATTTTCTGACAGTGAGAACAATCAATCAATGAAACAGTTTGCCTCCTGGAGTTGTGGATGCTCTCAAAAACAGACTGGACAACCCTTTGATCAGAATGGCATTAGTTTTGTTGCCTTAAGCAGGGGGTTGGACTAGAAGACCTCCAAGGTCCCTCACAGGCTTATGATTCTACGTTCTATGAAAAAAAACCACTGGGAAAGCAGTGGGAGATGCTGTCTTCTCAACTGAGAAGAACACATTTGTTTGCCAGAAACAAAATGCCAGCCCTCCTGCCATGGAAATAACGGAAGATAAAAATATGCCAGAGCGTTTTGTTAAGATCACATCTAGACCGCAGAGTCCTGGCTGAAGATCCCGCCAGAGATCTGCTATCCATACCTCATCAGGATCTCAGCGATGCGGAATCCAATTCCGGAGCCGCCGCCTGTGATGAAAGCCACTTTTCCTCTAGAAAAATCAGAAGGAGGAGACGTATGAAATCAGGAGCTACCAACACAGTTCGCTTATTGATATCCTTATTTATTTGCCGCCCCAAAAACTCTGGGTGGCTCCCAAGTGAAGAAGCGTTAAACACTAGGAAAGAAATGCCAGAATTCACAAAAAATAATTTAAAAAAAGGAAATTGAATCATATTCTTTATTACACATTAGTGACTCAGACTAATGAAACTTCAAACCTAGAAAGGAGAAAGATGGCAAAACCGGACAGGAATGGCTTTTAGAAGCAGAAGTATATTATTATTAGATTTGTATTGCACCCTTTTTATATAAAACTCAAGACAGGGAGCATACCCAATGTTGTTGCCTACTTTCCCAGAACAACCACCCTGTGAGGTGGGTTGGGCTGAGAGTAAGAATGGCTGGCTCAAAGTCGTTCAGTCAGTTTTCATGCTAAGACAGGATTAAAGGTCATTGTCTCCTAGCGATTGGCTCAAAGTCACCCAGCCAGCTTTCATGACGAAGGCAGGTCTAGAACTCCCCGTATCCTGGTGATTGGCACAAAAGTCACTATTTAATGTAGGCCAGCATCTTAACCATCTCACTAAATTGGCTCTCGTGTTTCACTTGACAGGTGAGGAAATATAAAGGTAGTTTTAGCAATGCAATGCTGGTTTGCTTTTCTTTCAGCTGCAGACCAGCATAAAACCAGTAACACTGAAGTAAAATGAATCTGATAAAATAGAAAATTGCTGGCCGTCTTTGGTTTAGAGACTGCCCTTGTTTCGCAACCGTTGCAATTATGTTAGTGATGAAGAAATAAATTCGCAACCTATGCCTGCCCTTACAACCTTGGGAGGTCCGTAAAGCAAAGAAAAGCAGATCATAAGCAAGCAATTCTGCTTCACTTAATGAGAGTAGCAGGTCCCAACTGCTGTTGCTAAATGAAGACTGCCTATATATCCTGTCTTTCTTTCCAGGAGCCGTAGGTAGCTTTCAGGGGAATCTCTATTGGTCTATCCCCACAACATCCCTGCAAGATAGATTGGACTGATAAGCATTTCCTTGACTGGCAATAACCCTGAATCTGGTTTTCCCAGTCCTTAACTACACCAGCTCTCTCCTAGCTAACTTATATTTTAAACAAACAAGGTGGGAAAAGGCAAAACATTACAGGAGGAAAAGAAGAATTAGAAATGACATGATAGCAGTATTCCAGTACTTGAGAGACTGCCACAAAGAAGAGGGGCTTAAATTATTCTCCAAAGCACCCAAGGGCAAGAAACAATGGATGGAAACTAACTAACCAAAGAGAGAAGCAACCTGGAATTAAGGAGAAACTTCTTAACAGTGAGGACAATTAACCAGTGGAACGGTTTGCCACCAGAAGTTGCAAATGGTCCATCATTGGAGGTTTTTAAGAAGACACAAGACAGCCACTTGTCTGAAATGGTCTAGGTTCTCCTGCTTGAGCAGGGGGCTAGATGACCTCCAAGGTCCCTTCCAATTCATTCCAAGTCGTTCCAAGTCATTCTATTCTATTCTATTCTATTCTATTCTATTCTATTCTATTCTATTCTA